TCGTGGGGCAGCTGCCGTGGGTGCCACCCAATGCAGCTTTGGCTGAAGAGGCAGAGCAGAACGAGGAAAGGGGCCCAGCACTGCCCGGGCATGTACGCTCCATCCGTTCACCCGCTCCCTCCTCCTCTCCTGGCTTTCCTTCTGCGATGTGCAATACCGCAAAGTAACGCTTGCTCTGATCCCTCTTTTGCAGAGCTGGTGATGCCAGATAACGCCAACGTGTTCTACGGCATGAACAGCCACGTGAACTTCGATTTCATCCTGCGGAAAAAAGCTTCGGTCAACGGGCAGGTGAAAAGGAGGAGCCATTGCAGTCTGACACTCCCCAGAACTGCCAAACGGGGCTGTTGGAGCAACTGGCACAGCAAAATTGCACTGTGAGGGAGGCATGGCTCCACGGAGAACTGGCTGGGAGCTGGGCTTGTTGCCATCTAGTATTGCAGAGGAATACATCGGCAGTGAGCTTTGAAAGTGTTTGAGGTTGAAATGAAAAGCCAGCATTTGATAGACCTACAGCCAGAGGTGCCATTCTTCTCCCTTGCAGCCGGATATGGATTTACAGGACATTATGGACCTGATTTTTTTGTTTGTTTTTTTCTAGTGGTGTTTTTTGTATTTTTTTTTTATTTTGCACATTAGCCTGGGAAGGTGAGAGCCCCAATTAGAGGGGAAAAACAAGACTGCAACACTTGTCTTGAGATTACCACGCAACCCAACTCTTTTTCTGAGAAAAGATTTTCCTTTGTGCCAGTATTACAGAGAAGTAGAACGTCTAAATTTATTTGTATAAAACTGGAGAAGAAAAATCTCAATACAATTCTGCCTGAACCAAGGAGGAGATCCCAGCCAGCCTCCAGCTGACTGATGGGAGCACTGGTTTGCAGAAGGCTGCCAGCTGTTGCTGCCTCTGGGAGGCATTCTCTCTCATTCACGAAAAAGCAGGGTGGGTACGTCCCCAAAACACTCATTTGCTGGAGACAGCAGAAACTGCCAGAGCGTGTCTTGCTTTCACACAGCTGGCAAACTTTCTTTTGCACTTGTTCCACACCAGAACATTGCCTATTTTGGATTTTTTTTTTTCCAAAGAACTTTAAAAGAATGGACTGCACTTGCTTTTGGATGAATGTCATGGTTTGTTCACAAACAAGGCAAACAAACACTACTTGTCTGGATTTAGGACTCGTCTTAACGCCACTACGGGGTGGTTTTCCTTCTACTTTGCTCACCCATTGAACAGAAATCGATGCCTTTTGCATATACTCTGAAATGACTGCTGTACCTCCTGGTAATGTGCAATCACTCGTTGAGAGCAAAACTTTTAACTCACGTTTTCATTCTACATGACAACTACACGACCTTTTAATTTAAAAGTGGGTATAGAGCAGAGCGTGCTGCGTTTTAAGCATTACGCCAACCAGCCAGAGATTTTATATACTCGTAGCATTTTTATGCATCATCTACAGGCACTTCCCTTGCTCTTTATATACTTCTACTGAATGAATTTCCTGACATGGTACATCCTTTCAGCTGGAAGAAAGAATTTAATCATCTGTGCTCTGGGAAACTTGAGAAGACATACTTCTGGAGTCTCTTCCCAGAACACAGCCTTCCTTGAAAGGATAGTTAGTTAGAGATTTTCTTTTCAAAAGCCATAAATGAAGCATTGGATTGTAAGCAGCTCTTACTTAACAGGCTGTCTTTGAGATACATTGTATTCGTTAAAAAGAACTCAAATAATACTGAATTTTATATCTGCCTGGGCCTTTTTGTCCCACCAGTTCTGTAGCACTAATTTTCAAAATTGGACTTGGATCACATTAACAATGACTGATATACTCATGCTGCAAACAATGTTGGGTTGTACTATACGTTTTACACTTCTGTTGTTTACAAGTAGCTAGTCCAAATAGTGTAAGAATTCCCGTTGTAGTTTTGTTGAGAGGGTGAAGATTGTGAGTTTGTAACTGAGCCTTAACCTTTGCCCAGAGTTAGGGCAAGATTACAACAGAAGTTCAGTTTTCTTTGCATTTCAGTGTAAGCATGCGTTGATGTCTGTACAGTATCATTTATATAGTATTGCTCACTCAGAGGTTGTTTGTTTGTGTTAAGCTGAAAGGTGAATGTTGTTCTTGATTTTAAAATTACACTCTCCAAAAGGTTATATATGAAAAAGAGTTTTTTAATTGTTTACCTGTAGTCTTTATACAATAAGTATATAAACTTTTTTTCCACTAATATGTGCCTCGAGTTACTTTATTTTCTTCTCTTAGACTTTATTACTGCATGGCAGTTGTGCGTTGGTTTTTTACCCCTTGTCACTTCCCTCACTGTCACTCTCTTCACCTTCATTGCTTTTAGAGTTTTAACCACAGTCTTCCAAGCTCCCACAACTCATCTTCCCTGCCACCCGGAGAACATGAAACACCACATTTTAGCTGTATTCCCTTTAGCTGTAACCCTTCGGCTACGCTCTTGCCTTTCAGCATTGTTTTACTCTTCCACATCACATCCAGCAACAGCTTTGTTCCGTTTGTAACACTGTCACTGTCACCCTCGTGCTTTTTTTTTTTTTTTAAATTCCTAAGAGTTTTTATGAGGACGGCTTCTGTGTGTGTCCAGCCGCGGGGCTGGCCAAGTAACGCAGTCTCTCCCCTCCGTTACCCAGCGAGCTGCAGCCCGCCGTCGGCCAGGCGCAGGCTGCAGGAGTGCAAGGAGCTTGTTGGGATCTATAGGTAAACGTCAGCAAAGCACAAGCCATCCCGCCAACCCGCTACTGCTAGGGAACAGTTTGTGCTATTTTTTTGAGCTTTCAGTTTAATGATTTCGGTTGTAACTAACTGGATAACTTCGGTGCCACACAAATTTTACAACTGCTTCATGAAATCATTCTCTTTTGGGGCACTGAATGATTTCTTATAGCAAGTTAATACCAAAAAAAAAAAAAAAGTTTCGAGTGTTTCCATCTTTTCCCCATTGTCTCCATCATGGCCTTTTTTTTTTTCCTCCTGGCTTCCCAACCTGTTGTGGTTTTGTTTTGTTTTTCCCCCTCCCCTGCACACAACACAAACGTGCAGTTTACACACCGCAGCCGCTGCTTCTACCCTTTAGCACCGTCCCTCAGCCCAGCTGCCCTTTCACAAGTCCCTTTGGCATCAGGGGAGACACCTAAACCTGCCAAAAAATCCCACCCTGAGTCCCTGACCTGTGGCAGGTGCCTTTGTCACTGAAGGGTCTCTCACGTTACTACGGCAAAACAAAGATTACCCTCCATTTCAGCTGCCTCCTGCCTGCCTTTTTCTTTTTTTTTCCCCCCCAGGGAGATAAAACACACCACCACAACCTCACTCGGTTAAATACAATCCATTTGTGAACCAGGAATTTCATGTTGCCATATTGAGAGTACAACAGCCCTTCTCCTTTCTTAAACACACCAAAGCAAAGACAAGAGCTGTTAGGGTACAAGCAGCCTTAGCACAAATAATCATTTTTAGGGCCTGTCACCATAACCTTTCTTGTGACCAAGGTGCTTTTGCAGCCGGCTTGCTACATCTACCAGAAGGCTGGTTCAAGCTGGTGCTCCTACTTGCTCTCTGTTTTGAAGCCCATTAGATGAGTCAAAAAACCAAATAAAGTACATGGAAAGTGGAAAAATATGAGAAAAAATACA